AAGAGGATGGGTGTTATTTAAAAAAAAAAAAAAAAAGCAGAAGCAAACAAATGTTGGTGAGAATGTGGAGGAATTGTAACATTTGTGCATCATCTGTGAGAATATTAAATGGTGTGAGTACTATGGAAAACAGTGTGGAAGTGCCTCAAAAAGTTAACAGGATTAATATATGATTTAGTTATTTCACTTCTGGAGATACACACACACACACACACACACACACACACACACAAAAGAATTGAATGCAGAGTCTTAAAGAGGTATTTGCACACCTATATTCTTAGCAGCATTATTCACAATAGCCAAAAGGTGCAAGCAACCCAAGTATCCACTGATGGATAATTAGATTAACAACATATGGTGTATACATAAAATATTATATTATCAGGTCTTTAAATGGGAGGCAATTTATATACATGCTACAGCATGAATGAACTGTACAGATATTATGCTAAAAACAATAGCCAGTCAAAAAAAGACAAATACTATATAATTCCAACTATGAGAAATAGCAAAAGGAGTCAAATTTATAGAAACAGAAAGTAGAATGGTGGTTTCAAGGCAGTGGGAAGATAAAATAACAGAAAACTGTTGTTCAATGTGTGGAGAGTTTTTGTTTTGCACAATGATAGAAGTTCTGGAGATTGTGCTTGTACATAACACCACTAAACTGTATACTTAAAAATAGTTAAGATGGAAAAATTTAATAAAAGAAATATATTCACTGTAAGAATTTAGAAATAATGGGATAACTCACCACAATTCTAGTATAAGGTATCAATATATTAACAATTAGAACAATAACAGCAATGTAGAATATAATTTTTAAAATGCTATTTAAATAATATTTAATTTTCTTCTAGAATTTGATAGCATTCCTTCATCATTTGTAGTTGTTTAAAGGTTTTGTAGATATTAAAAAGCAAAACAGAGATGATTAATTTAACATGCTGGTTTTGGAACACAGAGAAAAAAATTATTCAGTTTGAATTATTTCTGATTAAGTCTCAGCGGTATTCTCTCACATCCCATGAGATGGTAAAAAAAGAAATTGACTACATAAAAGACAGACACTTTGACAAACAGAAAATTTCAGAAAGAAGATAGACACTTTGACAAATAGAAAATTTCAGAAAGAGTTTTATTCATCAAGAGATCTATATTCATCTGATACCTAAGCCATGAGATATTATAGCCAAGATAAATTTCAGTCTTCCTGATATAACTATGCTGCAGACTCACCACCTATATTCAAGTCACGGCAACTGAGGTCTCAGGTGTTGCCTGGCATGAAGGCAGAGGCATGGACCAGATGGCATCACGGCTCCATCATCCTAGAAATCAGGAGTTGAGATCCTGAGTAGACCTGTCATTGTGGCTACTGGAATCAATGTCTTGAACACTCCCCCATGACTAAGCCCTCTGGAACAATCTGAAGAGAACTAATACCAGGTGGGAAAAGGCAGATCCCTCAGGGTGATGTAGCCCACACACATAACTGTGCCTGTCTCAGAGGGTGTCTCCTACGAGGGTGGTGACCTGAGTCATAATAAATAGCTATATTTAAACTGTAAACTCAATGCTAATACCAAAGGGAGGTTTTAAAGGTCATGAAATAGTCACTGTACACATAGTTCAGTGTTAAACTAATGGAGGTAAAGAAATATTAAAAATTCAAGCTGGGCCACCACGGGATCTATTATAATTCTTATGTGAGTGATATGCCATATGAAGGTTAAAAATCAAGTGGGATTGAGCTGTGCTGTCCTGGAAGAGCAAAGACCACGGAATGCTTTGCAGGGAGAAGCATAACCAGAATGCAGAAAACAATCCAGTTCAGCTTCAGAATGTTTATGAGAGTAGATAGATGGCAAAGTCTTAAACTAGAGGGAGAATATCAAGTCTTATTTCACAAAAGATTTTTAAAAAAATTTTTTTCTTAAACGGTGTGCAGTTTTAGACAAGACTTTACTGGTGATTTTGTGTTAATCATTATGGGAATGAGAGTGTTTTCTTGGATGCCATAAAGGAACAGTATCAAGACCACAAGTGTTTGTAGCATGTTGTTACAGGAGTCTGGGCATTTGTAAATAGTTGATGACCTGAGAAAAGGGGTGAATATATATTTTATATTTATCAATACACATTTTATGAATAAAGTCTAAGATATATATTAGCATTAACATCTGAAATATATGTATGTATATATAATATATACGTATATTGCAAATATATATGTATAAATATATATGTATATATATATATATGTTTCAGGTGTTATAAAAACTTGTATCTCTTAAAATACGTAAGCTCTGTATACACATATTTTTGCACATATGTATTTCCACCACATTTTGGTTGGGCTCACCATGCCCTTTGTGACCTAGATACCATTCCTAAGTTCTGGGCATATCCAGAGTCTTCTAGGGTCTGGAGAAAAGGGGACTTACCCCTCACATGATCTAATATGGTTTTAATTTGACTTTGTTTAATGAAATCATTTAGTGTTTTTTATAATCTTGTAAACTTGGTTGTCTCTGTGACCAACTTGTCCTAGAATGAAGCCCAGCTCTTTGTATTTACATAATAAAAATGTACAACTTCACAACATCTTTTTTATATAAGTCCTGTGTCCATGAGAGAGGACAGGGGCTTTCAAAACCACAGCATAAATGCATTCACAAAAAATATTTAGGACCCTTGTTCTTAAAAGGCATCTGCCTTTTCACAGTCAAGGGATATGATATCTTTAGCCAGTTTTTCCTACCTGAAGAATAGACATAATATCTAACAACCATCTCTCTTATCTTCCTCTTTCCCATCTGTGGCCATCATCCCTTCCACACAAAAGTGATGCAAGAAAAGTCCAAATCCTCACAATAATACCAAGAGCAGAGTTACTGCTTCTTACTGCTTCCTGATTCACATCTCATCACTGATACATCTAGGTCTTCACCAGAAGAAAAGAGCTATTTAAAAACAAACAGGTCATCCCACAGCCAGATTCATTCTCTTCAGAAAAAAAGCTGTGGTTCTTTTTCTTTTTAGAAAAAGAACAATGTCATCACTCTATATTCAACAAGGTCCTTTATTAAGACCCTATCATATTTCAGTCTCTCTGTTAGACACTTTTTTATTCTCTTTTTTGTGTTACTTCACTGACTGTCACAACTAGCCAATTGTCTTATAACTAAGTCTCATTAATCTTCCAAACTTATAGTTAAAATAATAGAAAATGATAAAGGTCAATAACTTTCAAAAGTCCTACCTAAGCAGGGCCTGGCCTGGCCTAGGTTCAGCTTCAGTGTTTTTCCTGTGTAGACATCTACACCACACCCACACAGCCATATTTTGGCAGCACACTGGGACTTCAGCATGGAAACTTCAGGGGTTAATAGTTCAATGTGGGTTGCATGGAATATTGATAACTTTGAGAAGAGGCAGGAAATGAGACAGGCCTAAATTTTGAGAACTGAAAAGTCTTGAAGGGGCAGCTGCCTAAGACCTCATAGATTTGGGCAGCAAAACAGAAGTTTGCTGACCCCTGTAATCTGGCAGGGTAGCTTGACTTAAGTGGAAAAATGTGAAGGAATCTCTAAATTATGTCCAAACCAGGCTGCCAAGAGTCAATGAGTTCCTATTAGCAGCAACATGGAAACAAAGGAATTGGGAGCCCAAGGTACAAAACTGAGAACTAAAAAGAGGTTAAGGCTGGCATTTCCTAAAGAGAATGAGGGGGATCATATAAATTGTCTCCCACCCAGCCACTATTTGTTTCTAAGCAACCCTGCTACTATCTAGTACCAGATGTCCTGACCCCCATGGAGAAAGGCAGATGAGATGCTGCCAGTCACCAGCACCTGATCACAGGACCCATCTGGGTGTCAGGAGGTGGTTCCCCTCATGCCAAGGTCCTGTCTCACAGCTGGGAACAGAGCCCAGGACAGGATAAAAGGGCTTTCAGCCAGAACACCTCCATCTACTCACCTCCTGAGGTACTGAAGGACCCTGTGCTGTCTGTGATCTCGGTAAGTGTTTGCTGGAAACAGGAGCAGTAGCTTCCTCAGAGGAAGGCTCAGACCAAAACCAGAGTGGAGGCTGGGTAGGGACTCCTGAGATGGAGGGCCATGCTTTTAGGGTAGAGAGTTTTGAGAATACTGAGCAGGCGACAACTAGAGGCATGAAGCAGAATTGACTTGCTTTCCACTGGGCTCTAGAGAAAACAAACTGCTCTGGGGCAGGGTGAGGTGAGGTGGGGTAGGATCCTCAGGATGGAGGCATTGAAACACAGAGACCTGTTCCACTCTGACAGGCCTCAAGATGGAAGTCCACCTCTAAAAATACAACCCTGTCTCCACCTGTAAAGGAAGAGCTGAAGCCTTGGACAAGTGATCAGACACTCCTTCAGGCTTTTGAAAAACACATATCTGGGATTTTTTGACAAACTTCCCAAATTGCCTGGGACACAGTAAGCCTGAGACCCAGCATGCCAGCCATTAACCCAATCAGGTGGTGAGCTAAAGAGATCTGAGCTTTGACCTGAGCCAGGGAGTAAGGATTCAAGTCCCAGGTGTGTGAAATTTAATGGGTTTATTTGTCTCTTAGATGAAGTGAGTTTACTGGCTGGCCATCCGCAAGAGCTTTTGCAGTACTGACTTTACAGAGTAAAATCATCTTGCAAGTTATAAGAGAGAATGATTGCTTTTGTCGATTAAAAATAATTTTTTATTAAATAACTTGTAAATTGGACAATTTCAGAGTTTGAAGACATAGTTGGAAAAATGTCCCCCTCACTTAACAATACTTTAGACTCTTAGATACATTTGTTAATACTGTTTGGTCTTAGGTTACTATTTTGTATAATAGATGAAAATTCATATCTGACATATAAGGATTACCTGAGTTTCCAAAGATATGATACCAGAGTACAGGGAATGGATTAGAAGTAAAACTACTAAAGATGATGTTTCTATCATTATAAGAAAGGGTCTGAGGGGCAGGGTGAGCTCAGTACCTGGATTTGACTTGCTGTTTGTTCCTCCCTCAGCTCCTGAACACCCGCCTGTCAAGATGTCCTGCCAGCAGAGCCAGCAGCAGTGCCAGCCTCCTCCTAAGTGCACCCCCAAGTGCCCACCTAAGTGCCAGACTCCTAAATGTCCCCCAAAGTGTCCCCCTAAGTGCCCTCCAGTCTCTTCCTGCTGCAGTGTCAACTCTGGGGGCTGCTGTGGCTCCAGCTCGGGGGGCTGCTGTGGCTCCAGCTCTGGGGGCTGCTGCAGTTCTGGGGGTGGTGGCTGCTGCCTGAGCCACCACAGGCGCCGCAGGTCCCATTGTCGCAGACCCCAGAGCTCTGACTGCTGCAGTCAGCCCTGCGGGGGTTCCAGCTGCTGTGGAGGAGGGAGCAACCAGCAGTCTGGAGGCTGCTGCTGAAGCGGACCCTGACATCCCTCTTTCTTCTGAGTCTGTTCTAGTGACTGAGAGGTTTCAAGCAAAAACTTGAGCTCTGACCTGAAGAAGCCCTCTGGCCTCATGTCTGGAAGCCAACATCTTTCTCCTTAACGACATTTAGAGGCCTCCTTCTCCGTATCCATGGCTGCCCTGGGAACTTCAAAGCACAGACTTAGTCTTCTCCAGCTTATGCTATTGTATACTGCTATCTGGACTAAAATAATAAAATCTAGAATTTGTTCTTCAACATGCTAGCAGACGGATTATTATTTTGCTCATCATTTTTCTGTTTTCCTCTCTTCTCTGCCGGTGGTTTCTGAGGCCTCCATGGATAGTGGATAGGGGAAGGAGCCAGGAGAGAAAAGTTTGTATCTTTGTGTGTTTTGTGTTTTACCTTCTTTGTGTGTGTGTGTGTGTGTGTGTGCGTGTGTGTGTGTGTGTGTATGTGCGTGCACACACACTTTAAATACACATACAGTGCAGTGGCATTAAAAAATATTGTTCTTTCAACTTCTGGTTCCCTGCATATGTTTAACTCTGTCCCTTAGGCATAGTCAGGGGAAAAACCTCATCCACTTTTTTCCTACCATCAAGTCCTCACTTTTCTGCTTCCCATACCACACTCTTTCTCTTAATCAGTGTCCTCTGACCTTTCCATCAGCATATATATACATATGCAATCATCATACATGTATAAACAAGGGGGGACCCAAGAAACCCTGGAATTTATTTATTAAAAATTGTGTATTTATTATTACATGTTTAAACTTCACTCACCTTCAAAGTATTCTCCGTTTGATGTAATACACCTATTGAGATGCTTTCTCCATTGCTCAAAACAGTTTCTGAACTCATCAGTTTTGACGTTTTTTAGTGCTTGTCATTTTTTGTTTCACCTCTTCTATATCAGCAAAATGTTTCTCTTTGAAGATTTTTTTTCATCCAGGGAAACAAAAGAGAATTTTGCTTGGGGTGAGATCAGGTGAATAGGGAGGAGTGGTATGAGGATCATGCCATTTTTGGTCAAAAACTGCCGAACGCTCAGCACAGTGTGGGCAAGTGTGCTTGTAAATAACCCATCATGAAATGGGCAAGCCCATTGAGGGAGTCTCCAAAAAATAATTCACTGAATTCACAATAGCTGGTACACTGATGCCAATGGGATCCTAGAATACTTACCTAGGGGAAGTCTGTACTACAAGGTGTCAGCCCTTCAAAAGATAATTCCGGGTTTTTTTGGGGTCCCCTCTCATACAAACACATAAGTAAGTGAATCTCTACTTTTAAAATTTAAATCACATTTATTTCTGTAAAATTTGCACAAAAAATTTATTAAATTTAAATGTAGAATTCAATGAGTGTTTCCAAATATATACATGGTAATGTAAACATACTTCAAATCAACACACTAAAAATATACTTGACAACTTATTAATTATTGTTCTAAAAAACCCACAATTTACAATATGTAAATACAAATGTGAATAAATTTATGCAAATTAAAATTAAATCCTGAGTATTAAAAAGCATCATCAATAGATGGGAGAATATAAAACTTACTTGGGAAAAGTATAATACATATGTGAGCAAAGGTAGTCATTTTACTACAAAATAGAATTCATATAGATTAAGATTAAATAGTCAATACTTCTATTAAAGATTTGGCAACAGTCATAACTAGTGAATGCTAAAAAATTAAGTGGAAGTCATAAAAACTCAATAGCCACTGAAATTAGATTTTAAACCCTATCCAATATCACTAACAAAGAAGAAATATAGTTCATCTTTTTGGGAGGGACCTATTGGTTCATAATACATTAGCAAAGATTAAATGACTCACAAAACATTGTTGGTGAGGGTATGTGGAAATGATCACTTATTCTTTGTAATTAAGAAAGCTAATTGGCATAACCATTTATGTATGAAATCGAGTGGTTCATTTATTAACTTAACAATAATTATTGGTTTTGATAAATTACTGTTTTACATGAACCTACTATCTTAACATAAATTTGTCCTACAATTAGCTAAATGAGATAAAAGTCTAATAGTAAAATAACGGATATTTAAGAGTGTTCACTTCAGGGGTGACATTAGCAAGATGGCAAACAGAAAGCTCTCAGCTCTGGCTTCACCACAGAAGCACTAAATAAACAACAATATACAGATAAAAATAACTTTATGAAACCTCTAGACTCCAGGTAAGATGTTTCAGCAATCAAGCAGACCTTAACCAAGAAATAAACCAACACAAATGATAGAAATTTTGTGGTGCTTTGGTCATACATACCTCAACCCATCCAATGCATAATATGGCACAATCAGGAGGAGGCTGCTTAGCACTTTCTTGCAATGGAAGGAGAAGAGTAAAACTCACATGCAGCATTATGGCTTTTTTGGGGACTGGCTGAAGGAATGTTGCCTGTTTCACCTGACTTTGGAGCACTAATGAGACAATGGCATAGTTTGGATAATAGGTTGGAGGCAGAGACTCTACTAGAACATGAAAAAGTTGCAGAAGTACTGCATATGTGCATTGCCTGAAGGCAAGAACTTAGGAGCAGAGATACAATAAGATAATGCTTCAGGAATAAACAGAGTAAAACTCTTAGTAAAATGTACAGATTTAAAAATCAGTCAAGGGAACTGAAACAAAAGCACATGTACACACATGACCAGGGAAGAGGTATCTCCAGAAAAGGTTTGCAAGATCTCTAAACCATCACAGTATGTTGAATGATGAAAGCCCTTCTCTGCTCAGAGCCAGTCTCAAAGACTGGGAGAGGTGGCTGTTTCTGCAAATGCCTAATTTTCAACAAACTATTAGAAGGCACACAGACAAACAAGGAATGTTGATCCATTCACAGGAACAAAATAAATCTCTAGAAACTAATGTTAAAGTAACAGAAGCCAGTTAATTCCTTGAAGAAGACTTTTTTTAAATGGTCTTAAGTATGCTCAAAGAGTTAAAAGAGAGTGTGGAGAAATACAGGCCCAACTAGGTCAGCAACAATTAGGTAAATTATACTGAGGAAAGGGATCTCAGGGTAAGATTTACAGATGTTACAAAAAAACTTGCTGACCACAACATGATTTGTAAAAGTTTGCTAAACATCTGTAAACCATTGTGACAAACTAACCTTTAGCTGATTGCTGGAAATGGAAAAGCAGTTGATTATTGCTGTTAATTAACCCTATCTTAAAGAAATAGCCCAACATAGCCTGGAGCTGCAAAAATAAAAACAAAAACAACAAAAAACTTCCCAGTGCAGCCCCATAAAAACTTTCCTCTTGCCTTTGCCTCTTTGTAAACAGCAGACAATTCCTCTCGTTGCCCATTGTTCTCTTACAACATGTTCTTCCTTAATAAATCTTTCTAAATTCACAACTGTCTTGGTGAATTCCTTTACCACCTGTGATTTGGCTTTATTTTTTATTTTATTTTGTATTTTTTGAGTTGGAGTCTCACTCCGTTGCCCAGACTGGAGTGCAGTGGCGGAGCGACCACTGCAGCCTCGACCTTCTGGGCTCCGGCGATCCTTCCGCCTCAGCCTTCCAAGTAGCTGGAACTACAGGCATGCACTACCACACCCGGCTGATTTTTTATGTATTGTAGAGATGAGGTCTTGCCAAGTTGCCCAGATGGGTCTCGAACCCGCAGGTTTAGGCAATCCACTCACCTCAGCCTCCCAAAGGCGCAGAATTACAGGCTTAGCCACCGAGCCCAGCTGATTTTGGCTTTAACTAGTCATACAAATACAACAGAGCATGTGGCCAGACAATTAATAAAATAAGAAAAAATAATATATGAAAAAATAAAAATATCAACAGATAGAAAACATAAAAACAAATCAGGCAAAAATCCTGGAGGTCGGGCACGGTGACTCAAACCTGTAATCCCAGCATTTTGGAAGGCTGAGGCAAGAGGATTGCCTGAGTCTGCAGATTCGAGACCAACCTGGACAACATGATGAGACCTTGTCTCTACAATAAATCAAAAAAACTAGCTGGGCATGGTAGCACGTGCTTATAGTTCTGGCTACTTGGAAGGCTGAAGCAGAAGGCCTGAGCCCAGCAGGTCAACACTGGGGTGGCCGTGAATGGGCCACTGCATTCCAGCCTGGGCAATGGAGTAATACTCCTACTCAAAAAAAAAAAAGTCCTGGAGTTGAAAAATGTAGTAACTTAATTGAAAAATTATCCAGAGGGGTTCAACAGCAGAATCAAAGAGGCAGAAAAAATGAATCAGCAAACTTGAAAACGGGTAATTCAAAATTAGTGAGTTGGACAGAGGAGGAAAATGAAAAAAGAATTAAGAAAAGTGTAAAGAGTCAGAAGTGTAAAGAAAAATATAAAAAGACTTATTAGACAAATAGACTTTAACTCAAAAACTGTTATAAAAAACAAAGACATACATCATATGGTGATAAATAGTAATTAAACAAGAAGGTAGAACAATTGCAAATATATATGCCCCAAACATCAGAGCTCCGAAATATATGAAACAAATATGGAATAATTGAAGGCAAAAATGGAGAACTCTTTAATAACAGTAAGAGACTTCAATACTTTGTTTAATAATGGATTGAACAGCCACACAGAAGATCAATAAGTAACCAGAGTTCTTGGAAAACACTATATATCATTTGGACCAATAGACTATATGCAGAGCACGCCACCCAAGGTCAGCACTTATCTTAAGTACACATGCAATATTTTCCAAGATACACCATATGTAATGCCACAGAACAAGTGTTAGTACATTTAAAAATACTAAAATTATGCAAAGTATATTTTCCAATCACAATGGAATAAAACTAGAATTCAGCAGTAAAAGGAAAACTGGAAAATCTAAAAATATGCAGAAATTAAACAACATATTCTTACACAACCAATGGGTTAGAGTAAATACTGTAAAGAAAATTACAACGTCTTGCAATAAATGAAAAGGTAAATATAGTAGCCAAAACTTATGAGAAGCAGAGAAA